ATTAGGCTCGGTTGGATGAATTTACACTAAGGGACATCTAGGTACAAATGCTTAACTGGATGGAACTTGTATGGTGGAATACGTGAGGTCTGGTGGGGGAATGAGGGGGACGTGGATGGCAGAGGGACTCCAAATTTGATCAAGAACCATCATATAAAACCAGAAAAGCTCAATACAATTTTTTTTTTTTAAAAAAGAGAGCCCATTCAGCAGTCAAAGTGATCTATCCTGAACTGGATCACATATGTTTATTTTCTTATTTAGAAGAAAATGACCTGAAATGAGAAGAGGTGTTTATGGACTGGAAAGAGAATGTAAAGGAAGTAGGGAGAGGGTGGAAGCATGGGTAGTGTGATGGCTAATCCTGGGTGTCAACTTGACTGGATCTTGCATTAACTGAAATGAGAGCAATCTTCTTAATTAGATCATCTGAAGCTGGAAGATACACCCTAAATGTGGGTGTTAACTTCTGATGGCAGCCCATATGGAAGGCCATGGCAGAGGAGAATGTTTTTTGTTTTTTTTTTTTTGCTTTTTGCTGCTTTCCTTCTCTCTCGCTGGTGAGTTCGTCTTGCTGCTGTAGACTGAAGACTAGCTGATCTTTTGGAATTCATCAGACCTTCAGTGCCAGATTGGGACTACTGAGACATCCAGCCTCGTGAACTGAGAGACTACGGAGTCTCAGCCTTTCCAGTGTGGTGCAGTCATTGCTGGACTACTCGGACTCTATCTTGTGAGCTAAGCTGACAAATCCTTATACATATATATTCATCTGATCGGTTCTGTTGGAGAGCCCTAATACAATATAATTAAAAATTTAAAATAAATCTAAAGAGCAGCGTATGTTTATATTGGTTCAGTTTTAACATTCTTTGGGAAACTTGTACTTTTTGTGGGTTGTTTTCCTTTGGGGGGGGATTGAACCCAGGGCCTTGAACTCACTAAGTACGTTTTACACATGCTACATCTGCAGCTCATCTTCCAGAAGACGACTTCAGAGCTGTTTAAGTGATGTGACCCTCTCCACATGTATTCTTTAACTCTAAATGGGCTCAAGGTTCTCAAAGGAAGGCAGAGTTTCATCTTAAGGATCCCTTCTGATTTTCATAATAATCAGCAAATATAAAGCTTTGGAGACGTCTATAGGAGTTCACATTTACACTACAACTTACATTTCAATAAAAACAATATAAGACGTCATTATAAGAATCATCTGTCGCATTTATTTTAGAATAACAATTTAAGTTGAATACATTTGGGCACAGTAGATATTTGACATGAAAAGCAGTTGTATCAGAATGGGCATCAGAAAAATAGTAACCCATCTTACACAGAATAACTAGAAAATATTTGTCTGTCTGATCACTTGTATTAGAAATCCTGAGAATGTTATTCACTGAACAATTAGCTTCCACCTTAGAACTGAAACTTGCTCAGAAAGATTCTTTTAAAAAATATTGAGGTACAAATTGCCTACATATTAAACATGAGTTTTTTTACATTTTGCAAAGAGCTTAAACAAATATATCAAATGACTGTAGTTCAATGGCTCTTAAGACGGCTATTAGTCAGGCTCAAGGACACACTGTTCCACGATTTCCCGTAGATTGGGGTTCTCCATTGCAGCTGCCACTCGCTCTTTGTCATTTATCTGTTTGTTGACTGTAAAACACATGGACAAAGGTTAACAGACTGTCAATAGAGAAATCAGACAGCACTCATGTTAGCCTGCTAAACAAATTTAACTCTTTGAGAGCATACAGGTAATTACTTAGAACTTTAATTATTCATAACACAATTTCTTTTTTTAATTTTAATTTTTATTTTATTTGTGTTTGTGTGTGTGTGTCTGTGTGCACATGCATGCAGGTGTCCACGGAGGCCAGAAGAGGGTTTTGGATCCCCTAGTGCCAACGGAGGCCAGAAGAGTATGCTGGAATTACAAGTAATCATGAACAGCCCAACATGGGTGCTGGGAACCCAACACAACACTCTCAACCACTAAGCCATCTCCCCAGCCTCTCATAATGCAATTTCTAAGGTTTGGAAAGCAGACCCTCAAAAATAAAAATATTCTGTTATTCTACTACTCTAGTACAACTATTTTAGTTTCTTTTCAGGCCTCATCAGTATATATATTTCTATACAGTTACATTCTGAGTAAATTTTAAAAATTGCTGCTTTTCCCCTCTTAAGCCTCTTTTTAAACTATAGTGTTGTCTACATGGCAAAAGTTCTAAGTGTTCTAAGTCAAATATGAAAACCATGTTATAATCCATGTTTTAATTTCCTTTATTAATGTTCTTATTTTGAGATGGGTCTCACTACAGTTCTGACTGGCCTGGAACTTGCTATATAGACCAGGTTGGACTAGAATTTTCAGTGATCTCTGCCTCTGCCTCCTGAGTGCTGGAATTACAGGTATGTGCCACCAAACTCTGCTCAATCAGCAAGTTTAACCGCATAGCCTTCTAGGCTGGGCATGGTCAGGAGGCAGAGGCAGGCAGATCTGAGTCCAAGGCCAGCCTGGTCTACATAGTGAGTTCCAGGTCATCTGGGACTACAGAGAGACCCTGTCTCAAAAAATAAATAAGTAAATAAATTAATTAAATAAGCATGTAGCCTTCTGGAACTACTTATTCTAACTTACGGAATGATGAGTTGTTCTCTTCAAGAATAAAAAATAAAGCCAATTAAGATCTTTTTTAAAAAGCATATACAGTCTCTTTTTATGAAAAAAAAATCTTTAAAATGTGATTATTAGATGAGTATGGATATGTGTGGTTTCAAGGTTTGATTCATGTCACTAAATTACTTTCCCAAAATGATTTACTAACTTACAGTACTTGAGTCTGCTCACACTCATACAAAACCAGAAGTGAACTGGCTCATTTTTAAAAAATTTTTTAAGTATGTATAAATGTGTGGGTCTGTGTGTAGGTATGGGCATGTGTGTGCCAATGAGGAATTGCAGGTAGCTGTGAGCTGCCTGATATAGTGCATGAGTGCTGGGAACCAAACTCAGGTATTCTGCAAGAGCAGTATGTTCTCTTAACTGTTGAGTCATCTCTCTAGCCTCCTTATTAAATAATTTTTGAGATTTACATTCTTTTTTTTTTTTTTGAGACAGGGTCTCCCTTTAGCCCTAGCTGACCTGGAACTATATGTAGACTAGGCTAGCCTTGAACTCAGAGATTCACCTACCTCTACTTCCCTAGCACTGTTAAAGACATGCACTACCACACCCAGCTTGAAATTTACATTTCCTGACTAATAGTGTTAGAACAATTTCTATGTTCACTGGTTGGTTCTTGAATTTTCCGTTCTTAACTCTGCCTATTAATCTTCTTTTAAACAGTCACTTTGCAGGTATAATGAAGTTATTAGCCCACCACATTGTCTATAACTTAATAGTGATTTTTTTTTTTTTAAATCTTTTTGAGACAGGGTCTTCCTGTAGCCCCAACTGGCCTGGAACTCACTATGTAGACCAGGCTGGCCTCGAACTCAGAGATTTGACTGCCCCTACCTCCCAAATGCTGGGATTAAAGACCTGCGCCACCATGCCCGGCTCCTTTTTTCTTTTTTTGAGACAAGGTCTCACTATGTAGTTCTGGCTGACCTGGAACTCACTATGTAGACCAGACTGGCTTCAAATTCAGAGATCTGCTGCCTCTGCCTCCAAGTGCTGGGATTAAAGGCATGTCTCACCACAGCCAGCAGCAATCAAGCATTTTAAATATACTTCTCATTATCTGTGCCTATCATTTATATAAAAGTCTGTTTCTCATGTAACTAATGAGAACGTTTTTTTCTTTTGTTTTTTCCAATCCCCACCTATACAACTTTCAAGTGACTACTGATTGACTTCTCTGTGCAGACTAAAGGTTCTTCCCCACTCCCATCCTAGCATATTAACACAGACAATGCCGGGCCCAAGATTCCCAAATTCGTTACTGGCTAGACCTCCATTTTCAATTTTTCATACACAGCTCCCTAACCTGCTATCGAGAACAGAACCAAGCCTTTAGAGTGCATAGCCAAGTCTCTAAAGCTGAGCTAGCCTGTACCAATTCACAGGCTCTAGTTCACCCAAAGTTCCAATGGAAAAAAAAAAAAAAATCCTTTGACTGCCTGGACTTCCTGACCTGTGAAGGAAGAGCTAATAAGTGATGGTGACACCTTTTTTCCCAAGCAACCCAACAGATAGTTGGCTGACAACCTAGTACCCAAGATAAAGTACTAGCTATAGCTGTTTTTAATAATATTCAGATTCACTTACTGTCATCTTCTGTTGAGTGGGTTCCTTCAGAAATGTATATTTCCAACTGGAAGAAAAACAGTAGAAGCAAAACATCAGAGCATTCTAATCACAGAGCAGTAGGGGAAGGACAGGAAGGGAATATATGATAGATTCAAGGATCTAGAGATGAGAGCCCAAATCCTATTTCTAACATCAAAGACTGAGGGGGAAAAATCTCACCCAGTCTTCTCTAAAACAATCTAAAACAAGTAGTATTTTCGCCAACTGGCCTGCAGGGGGCATTTTAGTGAATTTTTGTATGAATACATACAAATAGAGTTCTATACAATGAGATCTTTTTGTGTGAGAGCGAGACAAGGTCTCACTGTATAGCTCTGGTTGGCCTGGAACTCATTATGTAGACCAGGCTGATCTTGAACCACAGAGATCTGCCTACCTCTGCTGGGATTAAGGGCATGCACCAACATGCCTGGCTTACAGTGAGATTTTACAAGTATTGTTTTACTCAGGCCCATCTTCCCAAACGCATACCTAAAGTGCCCTTTGTCCCGTCCCACCCCCCGAAAGCCATATCAACAACCTACTGTACTTACTTTCTTCCATATTTCTCTTTACACTCACAAACTCTTAACATATATCTTTTTCTCTTAAACATATTTTATACACATACACACAAGTCAGAAGTTTATTGTTTTACAAAAATGAGGCACAATACGGAGTTTGGTGTCCTTTTTTTGTTATCTTGCTAAATCTGTTTTCAAGTAAGACGCTGGTAAAGCTTTCTCTTCCAGCCTTGTTGTGACCTTACAAATTAGCTAACCACTAAAACAAGAGTTTTTGACATAACCCACAAAATTACTTTGAATCCTGTGGCTAAAAAGGCATGCTGCCTAAGACAGATATGCCTGTCTACAGAGCGCACTGAAGCATGTGAGCCAATTCTTTATCTACTACTGAGATCAATGTTTCTCAAGAGTGGAAAAAAAACAAAAACAAAACACAGCCCGTCGTAGCTAAAAGGGACCTCTGAGACCATCTAGTTCAATCTGTTTTAAAAACTCAAAATATAAGCTGGGCATGGTGGTGCCCACCTTAATCCCAGGACTTGGAAAGTAAAGGCAGGCAGATCTCTGTGAGATTGAAGCCAGCCTGGTCTGCATAGTGAGACCCTGTCTCAAAAAAACTAAAAAATTGCTGGGGATGGTGGAGCACGCCTGTAGTCCTAGCACTTAGGAGGCAGAGGCAGGTGGATCTCTGTGAGTTCAAGGCCAGCCTGGTCTGCAAAGTGAGTTCCAAGCCAGCTGGGGCTACAGGGAGACCCTGTCTCAAAAAAACCAAAAAAAAAAAAAAAAACCTAAAAAATTAAACATGTAAAAGCTGACAAATAGAGGTGAAGAATGGTACATTTACCCCACTCTTCCTACATGAACTATTAATACATCTCAGTATAACCACTCAGTGAGGCAACTGTACCAATAATGGGACAAACTAAAGTGAGAGACCTCCTGATGTCAGGCAATGAGAACGTGTTTCTTCTGTTTTCTTGCCAAAAATGAATAGACAATCTAATCACAAAACATCCAAAATTTGAGAGACAATCTATAAAATATCTGGTCTATTCTTCAAAGTATTGAGGTCGCTGGGCATGGTGGTACACTCCTTTAGTCTCAGCACTTGGGAGGCAAAGGCAGATGGATCTTTGTGAGTTCGAGGCCAGCCTGGTCTACATAGCGAGTTCAAGGCCAGCTTGGTCTACATAGCGAGTTCCAGGCCAATTGGGACTACAGGGAGACCCTGTCTCAAAAAGACCAAAAATAATCGATCACTGGATGTGGTAGTACATGCTTGTAATCCCAGCAATGGGAAGCTGAGGCAGGTGGATAGACATGAGTTTGAGGCCAGCCTGGGCTACAGAAGATCCTGTCTCAACAAAACAACAAATCAAAATTATGGAAGATAAAAAGGCCTACTTCTTACTAAAACTCTAGACATAACCAAATCATGTGCGATTGGGCAGGAGGGACAGGAGGGTGCATTACCACAAAGGATGTTTTTGAAAAATTGGGGATATAATGACTTAAAAAAATACTTTTTTTAATGTTTTCTTTATTTTTATTTTACGTGTATGACTGTACTGCCTGCATGTAAGTGCACCTATGTCATGCAATGACCAAGGAGGTCAGAAGAGGGTGCCAGATCCCCTGAAACTGGAATTACAGATGGTTGTTAGCTTTCATGTGGTACTGGGAACTGAACCAGAGTCCTCTGCAAGAGCAGCCAGTGCTTTTAACTGCTGAGCTCCAGTCCCAAGGGAAATAATAACATTTTAACTTAGCAAAAAAAGTGGGAATAATTCAAATGTCTAACAAACAATAAGGAAGTATGGGGCTGGAGAGATGGCTCAGCAGTTAAGAGCACTGACTGCTCTTGCAGAGGACCCGGGTTCAATTCCCAGCACCCACATGGCGGCTACAAACCATCCGGTAGGTGAGTAAGCTGTACCTTAACTTGTCTCCTCTTCTACAAAATGGAAGCAACAGGATTGGAGCAATGGCTCAGTGGTTAAGAGCACTGGCTGCTCTTGCAGAGGACCTGAGTTTGATTCCCAGCACCCACATGGTAACTAACAACCATCCTTAACTCCAGTTCCAGGGGAATCCGATGCCCTCCTCTGACCTCTGTGGCATTGCACGGCACAGGTGCACTCACATACATGCAGACAATACACTCATACACATAAAATAAATTTTTTAAAAAAGATAAGTGAAATAAAGTGCTGTCCATCCATACAATGGAATAGTACATGTGAATAATCACTAACACATGCTAAAACATAGATGAACTCTGACAGCATACTAAGTCAAAGAAGCCAGACCCAAAGACCAACTACTGTACAGGTTCATTAAAATGAAATGTCCAAAGGCAAATTATAGAGACAGAAAGAAGATGATTGCCCAGGTATGGAGAAAGGGATGCGGTAAAAGGGGATTGCTAAAGCACACAGGATTTCTTTTCCATTTTTCTTTTTCATTTGTCTTTTAATTTTATTATTTTTATTTTCTGTGTATGAGTATATTGCCTGCATGTATGCAAGCACACCTGTGTCATACAATGCCTGCAGTGGTCAGAAGAGGACGCTGGATCCCCTGTAACTGGGGTTAAGGATGGTTCTTAGCTGCCATGTGGGTGCTGGGCCTCAAACCTGGGTCCTCCAGAAGAGCAGCCAGTGCTCTTAACCGCTGAGTCATCTCTCCAGCCCTTCTTTTCATTTTTGACATAGGATCTGGCCATGTAGCCCAGGCTGGCATCCTCCTGTCTCAACCTCCTGTGTGCTGGAAGCCATACTTGGCTCAGTATAGGATTTCTTTTGCATGTGATGAAAATGCTCTAAAAGTGATTCGGAGATGGCTGTACACTTTGTAGATATGCTATCAGAAATCTCTGTACATGTCAGGAGATTTGAATAATGTGTGAATTTTATCTCAACCCAGGTGTTGTAACAGACAGCAGGGGCTAGGGATGTGGCTGAGTGGTGGAACACTGGTCTGGCATGTGTGAGGCTCTGGGTTTAAGATGACAAACATCTTCCTTACCTTGTGTTTGAATGGCAAACACCGCTGAAGTTTTACTCTTAAACACAGCCCTGTGAAGAGAAAAAGAAGAAAAAAATCCCTTTAATGTAATCTCTATCTCTTCTTACTAGTTCCAGAAAAAAAGCCTATACTTCTCTGGCTGTGTCTATGTAAGACATTTGAAAACAGCTTTGCTCATTCCCGGTACCATGTCAGGAAATTTAAAACAGACGTTTGCATTTCCCTCAGGAAAATTCAGGGAGTTGGTCTTAAGAACCCCATTCTACAAATGATGAACCAAGGTCACAACGTGACCTGCCCAAGACTGCTTGAGGTAGTATTCTAGCAGAGCTAGGGCAGGAACCCAGGACCACGACAAAGCCCAGGCTTTCTCTGCTATATCAACTGGCCCTCAATCAAAGGTTAATTAATTCATTAGACTTTATTGAATTCCCACAGAGGTCAGGACATGCAAAAATGTAAAACCAAGTAAATTTAAAACCATTTAAGAGCCAGTGAGATGGCTTGTAGGTGAATGCCCTTCCAGGGCCTGGCAACCATGTGCACACCTACACATATCAGACGCACATACAATAACTAAGAAGAAAATTTAAAAATCAATTAACTAATTAATTTTAAAAACTAAACATGTGAAGAGGTTGGAGAGATGATTCAATAGGTGAAAGCACTTGCTACACAGCCTGACAATACAAGTTTGATGCCCAAAATCTGACGTAGATGGAAAGAACCGACTCCCTCTGACATCCACATTCGAACCCACACTCAAATATATGCATACAATAATAAATTTAATTTAAAAATTTTTTTTTAGTTTTTTAAAATCTTTTTTGTTTTCTAATGAAAAAATGTTAAAAGGGCAACATGAAATGTCTCAAATTTGGAATCTTTTAAGCCTGCAAGGTACAGATGGACACTTCTAAAATAAGTCCCACTGATACTGTCATCTGTAAAACCACAGGCAAATAATTTCTTTCTAGTTGAATCTTGTAGCAAAAATTAAAATTGGGAAAAGTTTTATATTTATTTGGTTTTTTGATACAGGATCTCACTATGTAGCCTTCACTGGTCTGAAACTCTATGTAGACCATGCTGGCCTCAATATCACAGAGATCCCTGTCTCTGCTTCCTGAGTGCTGCAATTAAAGGTATGCACCACTACACTGGGGGAAAAAAAAATTCTTAAACTGAACTCAGAACAGATCCTCTGCTAATGTTCTCCCACCACCACCACCACCTCAAATTAAGGAATGAGTTCCAGGCCAGCTGGCATTACGGGGAGGCCCTGTCTCAAAAAAACATATATAT